CCTGCTTGTGGTGCTGTTTGGAGAGTTTGTGGAGCCTTGTGGAGGAAATACGTCACATGGAATGGGCTTGGAGGGTTTGTCACCTCACCCCACTTCCTGCTCTCTCTCTCCGTTTCCTGTGTGTGAATAAAAATGTGATCAGCCAGCTTCCTGCTCCTGCCACTAGGTCATGCCTTCCCTGCCTTCCCTGCCTTAATGAACCCTGTCCTAATGGAACACAAAGCAAACTAACCAGCCCTTTCTTCCTTAATTGCCTGGGTCAGTTTCATCACAGCAAGAGAAAAAATGAATGCAGTCAGTGTCTTCCATGTTTTACTTTGACCTGGGGGTTTAATGTAGCTATCTAAAAGATAGTGTTTTTGGAAATTTGATTCTTCAAAATTGATGGCTTCTGATTTTTCTTCTATTTATATCCTAGACTTTTACTTTAGATCAACTTTTGGATTCCCAGACTCTTAATTGAGACATGTTATGCTTCATGGTCTCTACAGCGTATGGAAGAGACAGCTCATTACAGCAGAATGCTCTTAAGACAGGAGTGGTAGTACCACAGAGAGACACAGGATCTGAGATTGCAAAGGAATCTGTTCCTTAATCCTTGAGCTGTTTCCTGGGGAGTTTTTTGACTTGGGTCTTGTTTTGGTGTTGTTATGGGTTTGTTTGGTTTTTTTTGCTTGCTTTTTAGAGGGGAGTTGTGGAGTGGTTTTTGTTTGTTTTGTTTGGTTTTGAGATGGGGTCTCACTGTGGCATAGCTCTACCTGGCCTCAGAGATCTGCCTTCCTCTTCTGAATCCTTTCTGATTTGACTGCTAATATATTTGTATGCACAATACTGCCTGCTTCTCAATTCCTATTATGATGACTTGCTCTAGGACACCTCTCACATGGAATCCTTTAGCCTTTAAAGCCTCCCAGCTTTTTCTGCTCTGTATTTTCTCTTTTAGGATGAAGCTTGACTTGGGGAACTATGTTGGGTGTTCTGTATTCTGGTATGTTGTGAGTTTATAATTGGAGAGTAGTCATGACATCATTCCTTTTAAGGTTTTGCCTTGTGCACCCCTGATGAATGTCAAAGGCATCCTTTTAAAAAAAGTTCCTGTGAATGACCTAAAAAGATGGCTCTATGGACAAAGTACTTGCTTTGCAAGCCTCCATGAGCTAATTTAGATCCTCAGAACACACTTAAAAGCCAGATTTTTGGCATTCTGGCCCAACATGGTGTCAACAGGGAACCATCTGCAGCTGGGAGATGTCTGACATCTCCTCGGGCCTGGCACACCCTGTTCACTTATAAGGTCCACACCAATTACTGAGTTGTAGTAGTCCTTGTGGGCAAGGGAGACAAGCTGGTGATCCATGAGAAAGCACACACCCATGTTACATCACCCAGTGGAAGGGCCAGCTGTCACTGCACACAGGTCACCTGGATGGGGAAGACTGTGCTGCAGTTCAAACAGTGGGGGACTTTTTTCTTCACAAGTTCTTACTGGGCACCTTTCCAGTTTGCTGTCTGACTAGATTGTCCTGAAGTTCCAGGCCAACCAAGTGGAGATCTGTGCCTTGTTCCTGACGCAGCTGTCAGCACACAAATTCTAAATATTTGTGGGCTACAGTGAGAGTCTTCTGTCACGCTTTTATAAGTGCCCTGTGTAACTCTGCCTCCAAACTATGCCCTCAAAAGATGTATACAAGTCAACATAGGTGGATGTTCTTGCTTACATCAATCTGTATTCTGCAAAGGACCAAAATATAGGAGACGTGACGTGTGAAATAGAATGAGAAGAAAGCCTGCCCTCAGAGGATGATCACAACTCCAGGCTGATGTTGAGTAAAGAGCCTGGTGTTGCCAAAAAAAAAAAAAAAAGCCAGATGCATTAGTGTGTTGGAGGAGGCCACTTAGTCCCTAAATAATCACATAGAAACTGTTTTATTTAAATCACTACTTGGCCCATTAGCTCTAACTTCTTATTGGCTAACTCTTACATATTAATTTAACCCATCTCCATTAATCTGTGTATCACCATGTGACAGTGGCTTACCGGCAAAGTTTCAGCATGTCTGACTTGGCAGCAGCTCCAGGAGTCTCTCTTTCTCCCAGCATTCAGCCTAGCTTTCCCTGCCTACTTCTGTTCTTCCCTGCCATAGGCTCAAAGCAGTTCTTTATTCATTAACCAATAAAAGCAACACACAGACAGAAGGACCTCCTATACCAGTACTCCACAGCTATGGGAAGATGGGAGTGAGAGACAGGAGAATTCTTGAGAACTTTGAACAAGTAAGGTGGAGAACAAGGACTGGTAACAAGTTCATCCTCTGACCTCTACTATCTGCTGGTATACAGTACAGTTTGCACATGGGTGCTATACCCCCTCACCACCATACACTCAGATTCCAGTGAGGCTAACACAGAGCATTGATGAGAAGCTCTGAGCAGGACTAGAAAGATGGCTCAGTTGTGACAAACACTTAAGTTTGCTTCTTAGCACCCATGTGAGACAATTTACAACTGCCACGCATGTACCCGCACATGTATGATACATGCTTCCTCACACATATTTATATTTTAAATAAAAAGATCTTTTTGAGCTATAAGCATGGTTATCTTCCCAGAATATTGTAATTCAATGAATTAGTATTCAGTTCTTTGTACTATGTTTCAAATATCTTACCATCTTATTTTTTTTCCCATTTTTTTATTGAGAAAAGGAGAAAAAAAAAAACAAGTTTCCACCTCCTCCCAGCCTCCCATTTCCCTCCCCCTCCTCCCACCCTTCTCCCCCTCCCCCCACTCCTCTCCCCCTCCCTCTCCAGTCCAAAGAGCAGTCAGGGTTCCCTGCCCTGTGGTAAGTCCTAGGTCCTCCCCCCTCCGTCCATATCTAGGAAGGTGAACATCCAAACTGGCTAGGCTCCCACAAAGGCAGCACATTACGTAGGTTCAAAACCCCGTGGCATTGTCCTTGGCTTCTCATCAGCCCTCATTGTTCGCCATGCTCAGAGAGTCCAGTTTTATCCCATGCTTTTTCAGTCACAGTCCAGCTGGCCTTGGTGAGCTCCCAATAGATCAGCTCCACTGTCTCAGTGGGTGGGTGCATCCCTCGTGGTCCCGACTTCTTTGCTCATGTTCTCCCTCCTTCTGCTCCTCATTGGGACCTCGGGAACTCAGTCCAGTGCTCCAGTGTGGGTCTCTGTCTCTATCTCCATCCATCACCAGATGAAGGTTCTATGATGATATGCAAGATATTCGTCAGTATTGCTATATTTAAGGGAGCCACCTTAGAGTTGGCAAGAGACTTGAACCTAGAGTGGCTCCCAGATGCCCAAGCCAAGGTCCCCAGTTAGTTCCTTGGGCAGCTGAGGATAGGGAACCTGAAATGATCTTACCATCTTATTAAGAAAGAGTTTGGGCCGGGTGGTGGCGCACGCCTTTAATCCCAGCACTTGAGAGGTAGAGACAGGCAGATCTTTGTGAGTTCGAGACCAGCCTGGTCTACAAGAGCTAGTTCCAGGACAGGCTCCAAAGCTACAGAGAAACCCTGTCTTGAAGAAGGAAGGAAGGAAGGAAGGAAGGAAGGAAGGAAGGAAAAAATTAAGGGGAGGGGAGGGGAGGGAAAAGAAAGAAAGAAAGAAAAAAGGAAAGGAAGGAAGAAAGAAAGAAAGAAAGAAAGTTAGTTAGTTAGTTAGTTTGGATAGGGTTCAGTGGTTAAGAGAATTTACTGCTCTTAGAGAAGACCTGGACTTGAGTCCCAGAACCCATGTAATTTGGGCTTACAACTGCCTCTAACTCCAGTTCCAATGCCCTCTTCTGGCTTCTGTGGGCATCTGTTCACACAGGCTCACATACATACAAGTAAAATTTTAAAATAAGCGAATGAATTTTTAAAAATAGTTTGAGTTACTCCCATAAAGATTAATAATGAGTTGTTTCTCCAAATAAAAGAAGTTGTGACCTTAATAGTATGCTGTGAGCTTAAATAAACAGCAAAACAATAGAGGTTTGACTCCCAGGAGGCACCACGAGGACACACCCACACCCACAATCACACCACGGTTATTCAGCAAGCCAGTAAGGTTATTAGCATTTGAACACCTTCAGTCTGGAGCTGTAGTCAGTGTTCTTAACTCAGGTGATATCCTACTTCTCACAATTTATTTCTATAAAATATTGGCATATATATAAAATGTCTAACTAGGAAAAAGTTGTACCTTGAGTTCTGGTAAGCTATATTTGGCACGGGCCCATGAAAAATATTTGGAAGGAATGGGCAACCATGTTCATCTCCACAATGCATGCTTTCTAAGGAATATAATTATGTTTTTATTTGGGGCTGGGCATTTGTTTTGGTTTGTTGAGACAAGGTTTCCCTATGGCCTCAGACTCAAAATCCTCCTGCCTCAAATATCTTGGATTATGTAAACCACTATGCCTGGCTGTTTAGTTTTCAAGTCTTCATTGGTCACTTAAAATAGTGACATTAAGCCAGGCATGGTGTTGCATGTCTTTAATCACAGCACTAGGGAGGCAGAGGCAGATGGACCTTTGTCAGGGTCAATCTGGTCTACAAAGAGTTCTCGGCCAGTCAGGACTACTTACTGACTTTGTCCCCCCAAAATAATTAAGGAGCTAAAGAGATGGCTCAGTGATTAAGAGCATCTGGAGGACCCAGGTTTGATTTCTACAACCCACATGATAGCTTACAATTGTCTGTAACTCCAGTTTTAGGGGATCTGATGCCCTCTACTGCCTCCGTGGACATCAGAAATGCAAGGGGGTACAGACATACATTCAAGTAAAACACCACACACATAAATAAAAATAATTTTTAAAAATTATGCTAGAATATGTACACCTTGTAAATATTTAGGCTTTCAGTAATAATTTTTAGATACTGATCTGAAATAATGAGGGGAATAAGCCCCTTTTATTTGTCTGTTCATGAAATAATTTCTTTCTGTGCTTGTTTCACATGTGTAAGTTCATGGCCCTTGTGTTTTTTCTTTCAGTTTGAAGGAAGGAAGTACTGTGAGCATGATTTCCAGATGCTCTTTGCTCCCTGCTGCCACCAGTGTGGTAAGTTTTACTGCTGAGTATAAGTAAAAAATAAGTCTCACAATCATAAAATTCACTGTTTCAGTCTGTAATGTTATGACAAAGCACTCTGACTCGAAAGAGCTGAAGGGAGGAAAGGGCGTATTTCATCGTCTACTCCCAGGCCGCAGTCCATCCATCACTGAGGGGAGTCCAGCAGGAACCTGAAGCAGAAGCCATGGAGGAACAGCTTCGGACTTCAGCTCAGCTGCTGTTCTGTATTTCACAGTCCAAGCAATGATGCTAGTAATAGTAAGCTGGGCCTTCCTAGATAATTAACAATCTAGACAGTTCCTACAGACAGGCCCAGAGGCCAGTCTGATCAGTGTAATCCTCAATTGGGACTCCATTCTCACATTCCCTAGGATGTGTCAAGTTGACTGACAGTTAAAGCTAGTTAGGGCGGTCATTTAACGCTAGAAAGTGCAACATTTTCTTTTAGATGGTGCTTATACATAACTATAAGAGATGCTTTATCTGTCTTCTCTGTATCGATAGTATATATCAAACTAGAGAAAGTCCAAAATCTGGAGAGAATTGGTTTCTATGGACATGTGGGAAGAAGCATGTAGTGAGCCTTCTGCAGTGATTTCCCACTGCACATAGCTGACTTGCTTGTGGTCTGGCCAGAGAAGAGACAGGGAATATTTCAGTTGAGTTGATAAAGGTGCTTATGTGTAATGGCATTTCATTTGTATTTTAATAAATAAAGCTTCCCTGAAGATCAGAGAGTAAAATAGACCCACTGATCAGCCTTACTGACCTTTAATCCCAGTAGCCATAGTAGTTTGCCATAGAAACTGGTCTTTAATCCCAGCCCTAGAGAGGATTATAAAACAGGAGGAGACAGCTCTCAGACACAGTCTCATTCTGAGATTCCTAGAAGCAGGATCGCCGTTTGGGAGGGTAAGAAGAGCCAGTGGCTGGCTGTTGTGCTTCCCTGATCTTCAGTTGAGCCCCAGTTTCTCTCTCTGAGTCTTATTAATCATACTTCACTTGTGTACTTGACTCACTGTGGCCACCTCAGTGCTGTCTCGGCTAGAGCGTGTCTAGGGATTGGAGACCCTGAATTCAGTGTTTAACATGCTTAGTGAAGGAGGTCGGTGTGAATTATGAGGAAAATGTGGCAGGCCAGTCATGATCCCAGCACTCTGAAAATAGATGCAGGAGGATCTCTGAATTTCAGGCCAGCCTGTTCTCCATAATAAGTTTCAGTCCAGTCAGGGGTACATAGTGAGACCCTGTCTGAAAACACAGCAGTAACAAAAACCAGAAAATGTGTTCTAGAGACTGAAGTTATAACATTCAGTGATACAACATGCTCAGCCTTTGTTCAATCCTAGGACACCACTGTGGGGTGTGAGAAAAAAGGAAACAGTGTGTTGATTTCAGTTGTCTGTTTCAACAATGACCATAGACAACCAAGAGGCACTGGAGGAGCTCATGATGTTTGGAATTCAGAGATATGATAAAAAGTTTTAGATGTGGCTACAAAATAGAAAATGAGAACTCAAATGAAAGAAAGATCATTTGTCTGCTCTCTTACTTCAATAGACATAGTGTAAAAGGCTTTCTCTTAAATTAGGCTGGTGGGCTGGAGATTAAGAGCATTGACTGCTCTTCCAGAGGTGCTGAGTTCAATTCCCAGCAACACACAGTGTCTCACAACCATCTGTAATGAGATCTAGTGCCCTCTTCTGGCTTGTGGGAATACATGCAGGCAGAACTTTGTATACATAATAAATAAATAAATCTTTTTTTTTTTTTTCTAAATGAGGCTGGGATTATAGTTCCAGGACAGGCTCCAAAGCCACAGAGAAACCCTGTCTCAAAAAACTAAAAAAAAAAAAAAAAAAAAAAAATGAGGCTGGTAACAGAAACCTGTAATCCAGATACATGGGAGGCTGAGGCAGGAGGATCTCAAGTTTAAGGGAAACCTGAACAGCTCACTCAAGGCCCTATGTTAGAAGGGAAGATTCAGAGTGCTGGAGATGGGATGTCACTCAGGCAAAGCAGTAGCTTCGCATTTGAGGAGTGCTAGTCAGTCCCTAGTCCCTAGTAAACCCTCCTTAAACACTTGCCCTTTTATTTATAGCAAATAACACCTCATGGCATGTTTTGTTCTTTACTTCCCCATAGGTGAATTCATCATTGGTCGGGTTATTAAAGCCATGAACAACAGCTGGCATCCTGAGTGCTTTCGATGTGACCTCTGCCAGGAAGTGCTGGCAGACATAGGGTTTGTCAAGAATGCTGGCAGGTAGGACTGTTAGCCAGGCTTATTTTGGGGTTAAGCTTGTTAAACCTCTCAGGGTCCAGAAAGATTCGCTATTGCAGGCGAGAATTGGCTGGGGAAAGAAGTCTGAGGGGTAGAACAAACTGACTGACTTGAGCACGTTCCTCCTGCATGTTTCTTTATTCCATGAGGAAAGGAAGGGAAGGGAAGAAGGAGAGAAGGGGAAAAAAAGGAGCCTTCTCCACAAGGCTTTCAGTTTATATAGGCGTACAGACAAGTTAGCAATTACATAGGCGGTAACAATAGTATCAGACAGGCATTTTCACAGTCACAATAAAATAAAAATAAAACCAAAAACTAAACCGGGTCTCTGATGTGCTTTACTTCTATAGGGGGCGTGGCTGTGAAGCTCCTCAGTGGCTGGGAACAGCACTGGTAGCCATCCTGACCTAGGGGCTTGGTTTGCATTAAAGGGAATCTCTTTGGGGGACTTTGCTTTTGACTCCAGCAGGGTGCCCAAGTGAGATTTTTTTTCTCTCTGAAGCTAGTTTTAGTGACTCAGGCCTTTTTCCTGTATAAACAGTTAGTAGTTTCCGGGCTATGATCTTATGTTAACTGAAACCAAGGTGAAGGGAAAATACAGAATACTAGTGATTTTTTTTTTAATTAGAGCAGAGGGCCAGTAGATTCCACCTTTCTGAGTCTGCTGTTAGAGCAGACAGACTGCCTCCTGTTTGAGGCTCTGTTCTTATTAGTGAGTGCTGTCAATAAAGTGGAGACTAGTTTTATTATACTTTGGCTATGAGAACAAGGTTTGACTGAGTGGATGCTTTCACACCAGGGCTTCGCTAGGGAAGTATCCGGCCGCCCTACAGGAAAAGTCAGGTTTATCCACTGCTAGGGTACTATAGAAGGGAGAAATGCCGTTGATTTCACAAGATTTCTGCAGAACTGGCAATGATTTATCCAAAAGACAGGTGTGCCCACAGCTCTACGTAACAGGTTACTCCATGTGGAGTGTCCATACTCCTATGGATTTGTCCAATAGATGTGTCAGCTGAACATTTACTAATACTTGTGCGCTCACCACAGACTTTGCCATTTTTTTTTGGATGTGGGTGGACAAAGGAATTGTTCAAGACTCATGCATTTTCCCTAGAGAGTCTGAGGTACTTCTAGGGTATGAGAACACAGAACTAACCATGTACTGACTTGCTTAGTCACGGGATCTGTTACTGCATGCCTCCTGTTCTGCCAGTGAGATATGGGCAGTGATAAAGTCCATGTGTATCTGTGGGCTATTAGTGGAACAAACTTTTCCTGCACTTTGAATCTACTAAGACTCAAACTAGAAAACTAAGTACAGGAGATAGTTTTCTTTAAAAAAAAAAAGTTTCATTAATATCTATTTAGAGATATGAGAAGTATATTTCTAATGATTAAAAAGAACTTAAGATTTTAAATTTCCATTTTGACCCTGTATAGACACCTGTGTCGTCCATGCCATAACCGTGAAAAGGCCAGAGGCCTTGGAAAATACATTTGCCAGAAATGCCATGCCATCATTGATGAACAACCTCTCATCTTCAAGAATGACCCTTACCATCCAGACCACTTCAACTGTGCCAACTGCGGGTATTACAGTATTTTCTCTGACATTGTGTTGAACAGTAGAATTGAAGTGAAGGAGCACAGTTACCTATGTTTCTGTTACTGCAGCAAACTGCTTGGCTTATTTTCTTCAAGCTTTTGTTTTATTTCTTTTTAATTTGGGGTGTGTGTGTGTGTGTGTGTGTGTGTGTGATGGAGCAGGAGAGATGGCTCAGTAGTTAAGAGCACTGACTGCTCTTCCTAGCACTCACATGATTCCCCTTTTGCCAGCAGCCATTAACTACCAAGAGCTCCTTAGCTAAGGGTGGGGCCTATTGTGCCCCTCACTCAATATAATTTATATTTTTATAATATTAAACACCTGTGTATCCCAGTCTGTCTCCAAGTTCACAGTCTTTTTTCTCAACCTCCCAAGTGTTGAGATTACAAATGTGGACTACTGTTCCTGAACCCAGCACTGTGAGTTTTAAGGAAGACAAATGGACTGAAATGTAATATGTTACTATATTATACAGCAGTGATAAACAGGACTGAAATGGCTGTGCCTGACCTCTTTTGTGTCTCACCTTTAATAAGACACTGGTAACAACCTGAAACCCAGGTTAATTCAGGTTTCTCAGATCACCATTAACGAGAAGATAAAAATTATTAAGAGATTGTTAGGATTATATCTTTTAAAATCTTATAAAGAAATTCCACTACCTCTGTTGGGTAACTGCTCAACTGTACAGTAGTATTCAATTAGATGTCTTTGGTGGACAGGAAGGAGCTGACTGCTGATGCCCGGGAGCTGAAAGGAGAGCTGTACTGTCTGCCATGTCATGATAAGATGGGGGTCCCTATCTGTGGCGCCTGTCGGAGGCCCATTGAAGGGCGAGTAGTGAATGCCATGGGCAAGCAATGGCATGTGGAGGTAAGTACAGTACTGCCAAAGGTGGCCAGTACTTTGTTTCTGTGCCTCAAGTACACCTGCAAGATAAGACCAGTTTAAAGACTAAATGTTGACATTTTTAAAAAACAGTTGGTTTTTGTCCTAATCTGTTTCTCTATCACTGTGATATAAAAACAAAAACTGCCCAAACCAAGTATGGTGGCATACTCCTTTAATCCAAGCACTTGGGAGGTAGAACCAGGAGGATATCTGTGAGTTCCAAGCTAGGTAGTGAGTTCCAGCTCAATCAGGACTACATAGAGAGACCCTGTCTCAAAAACAACAAAACAAATAACAACTGACCAAAAGCAACTTGGGAGAAGAAAAGGTTTATTATGGATTACAGGTTATTGTTCTTTGCAAAGTGAAGCCAAGTCAGGAACTCAAGTCAGAAACCTGGGTGCAGAAACTGGAGCTGAGACCAAGGAGAAATGCTGCTTCTTGGATTACTTCCCGGCTCATTGCCACCGAGCCACCTTCCTTAGACAGCCCAGGCTCATTTGCCCAGGGATGGCACCTCCCACAGTAAGTGTTCCCTCCCACGTCAATTAGCAAGCCTGAAGATAACCCACAGACGTGTCCACAGGCCAGTCTGGTGGAAACAGCTTCTTGTTATAGTCTAGTTTGTGTCAAGTTGACAGAGACTAACCAGTACAACTTAATAGTAAACAAAAATGTAGAACGCTGGAACATGACAGCATAATGCAGAATGTGTACTTTGTTCTAATCCTTGAGGCCGGGCAGTGGTGACACACACACACCTTAATCTCAGCACTTGATAGGCAGAGGCAGGTGGATCTCAATGAGTTTGAGGCCAGCCTGGTCTATTAAGTGAGTTCCAGGACAGCCAGGACTGTTAGAGAAACCCTGTCTCAGGGGGAAAAAAAAATCCTTCTTGAGGACAGGAATGTCACATGCAACAATTAGCTGTTCTCAGTGACAAATACTACTGGAATGTCCATCTCCTTTCATGTGTATTATTTAATAGTTTGTATTTTTCTTAAATATTTATTTATTTATTTATTTATTTAGTATACAGTATTCTGTATGTATGCCTGAAGGCCAGAAGAGGGCGCCAGACCTCTTTCAGATGGTTGTGAGCCACCACGTGGTTGCTGGGAATTGAACTCAGGACCTTTGGAAGAGCAGGCAATGCTCTTAACCACTGAGCCATCTCTCCAGCCCCTAATAGTTTGTATTTTTTAAAGATGATTTTATTGTAATTGTGTCGCAATTACAATTATGTAATTGTACCTGACCTGCATGTGTTGCTGGTGTCTGTGGAGGTCCGACAAGGTCATCAAATTCCCCCAAAATTGGAGTTAGGGATAGTCGTAAGTTTCAATACTGGTGCTGGAAACCAAACCCAGACCCTAATCCAGAGCTGCAGGTTCTTCCAACTGCTGAGCAGTTATCTTTTTGGTTTTTCAAGACAGGGTTTCTCTGTGTAGCCCTGACTGTTCTAGAACCCACTCTGTAGACCAGGCTAGCCTTCACCTCACAGAAATCTGCCTACCTCTGGTCCCCAGGACTGGATTTAAAGGTGTGTGCTACTACTACCTGGCACTGAGCGGTTATCTTAAGGTAACCCATTAGAGCCTCATAGACATTAGACCATAAAAGTAGCTGGTCTTGCCAGGTATGGTGGCACACACCTTTAATTCCAGCATTCAGGAACCAGAGGCAAGTAGCTATTTTTGAATTCTAGGCCAGCATGGTCTACACAGCAAGTTTAACATCAGAAAGTTAAAAGATCTACCTAGTGAGGTGCTATCACACAGAAAAATGGGAGGGAATCTGCTTATTAATCTTACTATCTTTTCTAAGAATTGGTTAACTTTGAGGTTACTTTGTTAGATAAATCAAATCATGGCATCTCGAAAAAAATCTATTCTTTGTTTTTCCAGCATTTTGTTTGTGCCAAATGTGAAAAGCCATTTCTTGGACATCGCCATTATGAGAGGAAGGGCTTGGCCTATTGCGAAACTCACTATAATCAGGTAATGATTATCCTTACTAGACACTTGATACATGCAAATCAAAACTCATCAATGTTTTGACTGTAGAGAAAGCACTTAGTCTACAGAGATGTGTTTTAAATCTTTGAGTTACTTTCTAAATAACATACCAACAATATCTATATATCTGCCTTTTCCCATAATCTCCATTTGCTTCCTCTGGGTACATTTGATTTTACTATATAAAAATAGACCTTTGTATCAAACATATCTTTTTTTTAAAAAGATTTATTTATGTATACAATGTTCTGCCTGCATGTATGCTTGCAGGCCAGAAGAGGACTCCAGATCTCATTGCGAATGGTTGTAAGCCACCATGTGGTTGCTGGGAATTGAACTGAGGACCTCTGGTAGAGCAGTCAGTGCTCTCAACCACTCAGCTATCTCTCCAGCCCCTAAAACACATATTTTTATGTACAGATATTTATGTACATTTAAATGTCTATAGTTTTGTTTTGTTTTTGGTTTGAGGTTTGCTTTTTTTTTCTTTTTTATTTGCATTTGCCCTATATGGGCATTGGATCCTCTGGGACTAAAGTTATAGATGATTATGAGCTGCTACAGGGATGCTGGGAATTGAACTTGGGTCCTCTCGAAGAGCAGCCAGTTCTCTTAACTATAGAGATGCTGCTGCAGCCCATAGATAGGTCTATGAATAATATTTGTATTAGTTCTTTGAGAATTTCATACAGTGTTTTGATCATCCACTCCCACCTCACTCTAATTTATTCTCCCAGATTGACCCCACCGTCCTACACCCTACATCTACTCTAGTTTGTGCTCCAATTTACATCTGGGTGTGAGGCTATCCACTGGCACATGGTCAACTTACAGGAGCTACATTTTTTTTCCTCTCTTTATTTTAATGATTTTTATTGAGCTCTACATTTTTCTCTGCTCCCCTCCCTGCCTCTCCCCTCCTCTTCAACCCTCTCCCATGGTCCTCATGCTCCCAATTTACTCAGAAGATCTTGTCTTTTTCTACTTCCCGTGTAGATTATATCTATGTAAGTCTCTCTAGGGTCCTCATTGTTGTCTAGGTTCTCTGGGATTGTGATTTGTAGGCTGGTTTTCTTTGCTTTATGTTTAAAAACCACCTATGAGTGAGTACATGTGATAATTGTCTTTCTGAGTCTGTGTTACTTCACACAAAAATGATGTTTTCTAGCTCCACCCATTTGTCTGCAAAATTCAAGCTGTCATTATTTTTTTCTTCTCTGTAATACTCCATTGTGTAAATGTGCCACATTTTCCTTATCTATTCTTCAGTCAAGAGGCATTTAGGTTGTTTCCAGGTTCTGGCTATGACAAACAATGCTGCTATAAATATAGTTGAGCACATGTCCTTGTGACATGGTTGAGCATCCTTTGGATATATACCCATAAGTGGTATTACTGGGTCTTGAGGAAGGTTGTTTCCTAATTTTCTGAGAAATCGCCACACTGACATCCAAAGGGGCTGTACCAGTTTGCACTCCCACCAGCAATGCAGAAGTGTTCCCTTCAACCCACAACCTCTCCAGCATAAGTTGTCATCAGTGTTTTCGATCTTGGCCATTCTTACAGGTGTAAGATGGAATTTCAGAGTTGTATTGATTTGCATTTCTCTGATGACTAAAGATGTTGAACATTTCCTTAAGTGTCTTTCAGCCATTTTAGATTCCTCTGTTGAGAATTCTCTGTTTAGGTCTGTATTCCATTTTTTATTGGATTATTTGTTCTTCTGATGATCAATTTCTTGAGTTCTTTCTATATTTTGGAGATCAGACCTCTGTCTGATGTGGGGTTGGTGAAGATCTTATCCCATCCTGTAGGCTGTCGTTTTGTTGACCGTGTTTTTTGCTTTACAGAAGCTTTTCAGTTTCAGAAGGTCTCATTTATTAGTAGTTTTTCTCAGTGTCGGTGCTACTGGGTTATATTTAGGAATTGGTCTCCTGTGCTAATACATTCAAGGGTACTTCCCACTTTTTCTTCTATGAGGTTCAGTGTGGCTGGCTTTATGTTGAGGTCTTTGATCCATTTGGACTTGAGTTTTATGCATGGTGATAGATACGGATCTGTTTTCATTCTTCTACATGTTGACATCCAGTTATGTCAGCACCGTTTGTTAAATATGCTTTCTTTTTTCCATTTGAAATTTTTTGCTTCTTTGTTAAAAATTAGGTGTTCGAAGATGTGTGGATTAATATCCAGGTCTTGATTCAGTTCCATTGGTCCTCCTGTCTGTTTTTTATGCCAATATCAGTCTGTTTTCAGTACTGTAGCTCTGTAGTAGAGTTTGAAGTCAGGGATTGTATGCCTCCAGAAATTCTTTTATTGTACAGGATTGTTTTGGCTATCCTGAGTTTTTTGCTTTTCCATATGAAGTGGAATATTGTTCTTTCAAGGTCTGTGAAGAATTTTGCTGGGATTTTGATGGGCATTGTGTTGAATCCGTAGATTGTTTTTGGTAAGATTGCCATTTTTACTATGTTAATTCTACCTACCCAAGAGCATGGGAGATCTTTCCACTTTCTGGTGTCTTCTTCAATTTCTGTTTTCAAAGATTTAAAGTTCTTGTCATACAAGTCTTCCACTTGTTTGGTTAGAGTTACTCTGAGATATTTTATGCTATTTGTGGCTATTGTGAAGGGTGATGTTTCTCTGATTTCTTTCTCAGCCCTTTTATCATCTCTGTACAGGAGGGCTACTGATTTTTTTTAAGTTAATCTTGTATCCTGCTACATTACTGAAAGTGTTTATGAGTTGTAGAAGTTCTTTGACACAATTGTTGGGGTAACTTATGTAAACTATCATATCATCAGCAAATAGTTTGACTTCTTCTTTTCCAATTTGTATCCCTTAGATCTCCTTTTGTTGTCTTATTGCTCTAGCTAGGACCTCAAGAACTATATTGAATAGATAGGGAGAGAGTGGACAACCTTGTCCTTTTCCTGATTTCAGTGGGATTGCTGAGAGTTTCTTTCCATTTAGTTTGATGTTGGCTGTTGGCTTGCTGTATATTACCTTTATTATGTTTAGGTATGTTCCTTATATCCCTGAGGAGCTACACTCTTAAGGAAGGTTCACTCTCCTAACTCCAGAAGCCATCAACTGTCTTAGCTCCTCAGTTAGGGGTCAGGTAGAGTAGCAATCTATGGAAGTTTTGGGTCAAGAAATGAGGCGTTGGTGCTGCCTCTCCATCCACCATTAAAGGATGGAGAAAGCTCTGGACCAGGTCACCGAGCCATGGCATCAGGAAGCCTTCCACATCCAAGAGAGAGAGAAAGAGAGAAGTGTGCTACCTTTCCTCCTCCCTTGCTTTTTAAGAGGTCACGTATCCCCAAAGAAGACCGTGCCCATCAGGCTGACCCACTCCATTCCGTTCATCATTAGACCGAATGGCAAATTCCCACAACAATCAGGACTTTTATGTTTTGGTTGTGAGCCATCACTCCAGCCCCAGGGCTTTAAATAGTAAAAATTGGATGCAGCTAGGTTCCTTTCCCCAGTATGTTTCAGTGTATATTTCCCTAGAGTACAAATCTTTTTTATATAGCACATTTATCAGTATTGTTACAATAATTTTTCCAGTTTATGGGATATTTTACTCTTTTGGTTTTTTTCAGGGGCCCACCACCCATCTCCCAAATAAATCACACGGAGGCTTATTATTACTTGTGAATGCCCAGCCTCAGCTTGGCTTGTTTCTTGCCAACTTTTCTTATCTTAAATTATTCTGACCACCTTTTCCCTCTGGATTTTTATCTTTCTTACTTCTATATATCTTACTTTCCTTCTTGCTCTGTGACTTGTTGGGTGTTTGGTCCGGATGTCCTCCTCTTCTTTTCCTCCTCATTCTCATTTCTCCTTCTATTTATCCTCTCTGCCTGCTAGCCCTGCCTATCCTTGCTCCTGCCTCACTATTTGCCATTCATCTCTTTATTAGGACCATGAGGTGTTTTAGACAAGCACAGTAACACAGCTTCACAGAGCTAAACAAATGGAGCTGTAGCTAAAGTTACACACCTGAAAATAATATTTCCCAACACTTATCCCTTAGGCATTTACTTATCTATTTATCTAGAGACAGGGCTCACTGTATTACTGCAACAGCCTGCCAGGTGTTGGGATGCATCACTGCACACAGCCCAGTAATGTTCTTTTGTTGTTGTTATTTTGTTTCTGTTTTTGCAGACAGGGTTTCTTTTTGTAGCCTCGACTGTCCTGGCACTCACTCTGTAAACCAGTCTGGCCTCTAATTCACAGAGATCTGCCTGCCTCTGCCTCCTGAGTGCTGGGATTAAAGGCGTGCGCCACCACCAGGCTTTAATAATGTTCTTATAGCATTTTTGTTTCCTGCTTTAAGACTAGTGTTATTCTAGTATTGTGATAGTTCTTCAGCATCTTCAATATGGGACATCTCCAGTCTCTTTAATTGGTTTCTTTTCCCTTGGTCTCCTCTACTGGTTCTTTGTTACTATTCTGGGGCTATGGCTCTTGGCTAGAATCTGAACAGGTAGTGGTGGTATAATCTCCTTAGCGCCTCTCCTCTGTTCATTACTGCTCCATTGGTCCCATCCAGGCTTGATGTTGGCTATATCTACACTGTGAGTTGCTGTTTCCCGCTTCTTTATATCCAACAACCTGTGGACAATCACTTTCTGACTGAAAATGTCCTGCTTTTCGGCAGTTTTTCTTTCTTTCTTTTTTTTTTTTTTTGTTCTTTGTTTGTTTGTTTTTTCGATTTGGTGACATGCAGTAATTCTGCCTGCTTTGGTTGGAAATGATACTTACCCTGTCTAATGCCCTCCCTACTCAGTTGGCCATTGGCACTCTGCTTGAACAGCTGCCATCCTCCCTTTCTGGGCATAGTTTGTTTATCCATTTCTTATCTGTAAGGACTTCAAGGTTCTTGGGGTTTTTTTTTATAAATTATTTTGATGCTCAAATTGTCACTAGAAAAATAAGTTTAAGTGATGAAAAGTGAATGATTTTTTTATTGTAAGTAATCATTTACTAATTTTCTTTAGTAAAAATAAATTCTAAAATTTAGTTGCTAGCCACTTGTTTTTCAGTGGTAAACAGGAATGACAGAGATGGTATGAATACTTATTGTTAGAAAACTTAATTTCAGGGGCTGGAGAGATGGCTCAGAGGTTAAGAGCACTGGCTGCTCTTCCAGAAGTCCTGAGTTCAATTCCCAGCAACCACATGGTGGCTCACAACCATCTGTAATGAGATCTGGTGCCCTCTTCTGGCCTGCAGACATACACACAGACAGAACACTGTATACATAATAAATAAATCAATCTTTTAAAAAACTTAATTTCAACACACTTTGAGCTTTCACCACTTGTTCTCATCTTATCCTCAGCTATTTGGTGATGTTTGCTTCCACTGCAACCGCGTCATAGAAGGTGATGGTATGTATCGTGTGAGGATGGGACAGTGGCATAAAACACTTGGGTAGAATGACAAGAGAAAGAAGCTAATGGGCTGTGATGTGGTCATTATCAGTTGTTCCCTCTTGGTATGCGTCTCAAGTGCGCTACAGCAGAGAGCTGGGCTAACGAGGCAGAACAGCTGCTGTGAGCTGTGTACTGGGTTGCTAGGACTTGCTGCATGGGCTAACCAGGCAGGGCAGATTGGCTACAACATGGGGAAAGCAGCTGTGTTTGCTAATGGTCACTAACCAGCCCTGCCAGAGTTCTAAACACTGTTTACTGCATGCTTTCTAGTTCTCAGTAGACATCACCTAGTCAGGAAATGCTTTGTGGAAAACCACAGTTAGTAGCAACGTTAGTCCGGGAGCCATCTTTAGTGCCATGGCAAGTCAGCTTAGCTGTGGAGACACTTGAAAGGACAAAGGAAGTGTGTCATCTTTCAAACACCCCTCACAGTCAGATAAAGTCTGATGTTTAAAATTTTTATCTGGCACTCGGGAGGCAGAGGCAGGCGGATCTCTGTGAGTTCGAGACCAGCCTGGTCTACAAGAGCTAGTTCCAGGACAGGCTCCAAAACCACAGAGAAACCCTGTCTCGAAAAACCAAAATAAAATAAAATAAAATAAAAATAAAATAAAATTTTTATCTGATTCATATTTCTTTGGTGGGCCAACAGCAGTAGAGGCAGAGACACAGCAGAGAGGTTGTTGGGTGTCAAGCCTTGTCAGAAAAGCTCATCTGAACCACATGGGACAGGTGGGCTACTGCCCACCGTGCTGAGAGGGGATAGTATTTGGTGTCTCCAGTTTGTAAGTAAAGAAAAATTAAAAGCTAAAAAAGGCAAAATAGGGCTGGGGAGATGCCTCAGAGGGTCAATACGTGTGTGATCATGAAAGCAGACTTCTGTCCTCAGCACTGTCGGTGCTGCCTGCCCAGTGCCACCAGAGCAGGCTGACGACCAGACTGGCTATAGTGGCTGCTGAGTTCAACTAAGAGACCTTTCCTCAACTAAGAAGATAGAGAGTGATCAAAGAAAATTCCCGTGTCAATGTCAGGATCTTTTCACATAGATCCACAGGTGCCTGTGTACCACAATGTTAGGATCTTTTCACATAGATCACAGGTGCCTGTGCACCACAATGTCAGGATCACATAGATCACAGATGCCTGTGTACCCACAATGTCAGGATCACATAGATCACAGATGCCTGTGCACCCACAATGTCAGGATCTTTTCACATAGATCACAGGTGCCTGTGCACCACAATGTCAGGATCTTTTCACATAGATCACAGGTGCCTGTGCACCACAATGTCAGGATCACATAGATCACAGGTGCCTGTGCACCCACAATGTCAGGATCACATAGATCACAGGTGCCTGTGTACCCACAATGTCAAGATCTTTTCACATAGATCACAGGTGCCTGTGCACCACAATGTCAGGATCACATAGATCACAGATGCCTGTGCACCCACAAGTCAGGTTCACATAGATCACAGGTGCCTGTGCACCACAATGTCAGGATCTTTTCACATAGATCACAGGTGCCTGTGCACCACAATGTCAGGATCACATAGATCACAGGTGCCTGTGCACCCACAATGTCAGGATCACATAGATCACAGGTGCCTGTGCACCCACAATGTCAGGATCACATAGATCACAGATGCCTGTGCACCACAATATCAGGATCTTTTCACATAGATCACAGGTGCCTGTGCACCCACAATGTCAGGATCACATAGATCACAGGTGCCTGTGCACCCACAATGTCAGGATCACATAGATCACAGGTGCCTGTGCACCACAATGTCAGGATCTTTTCACATAGATCACAGGTGCCTGTGCACCACAATGTCAGGATCACATAGATCACAGGTGCCTGTGTACCACAATGTCAGGATCTTTTCACATAGATCACAGGTGCCTGTGCACCCACAATGTCAGAATCACATAGATCACAGGTGCCTGTGCACCCACAATGTCAGGATCACATAGATCACAGATGCCTGTGCACCACAATGTCAGGATCACATAGATCACAGATGCCTGTGCACCACAATGTAAGGATCACATAGATCACAGGTGCCTGTGCACCCACAATGTCAGGATCACATAGATCACAGATGCCTGTGCACCACAATGTCAGGATCACATAGATCACAGATGCCTGTGCACCACAATGTCAGGATCACATAGATCACAGATGCCTGTGCACCACAATGTCAGGATCACATAGATCACAGGTGCCTGTGCACCCACAATGTCAGGATCACATAGATCACAGATGCCTGTGCACCCACAATGTCAGGATCACATAGATTACAGATGCCTGTGCACCCACAAGTCAGGATCTTTTCACATAGATCACAGGTGCCTGTGCACCCACAATGTCAGGATCACATAGATCACAGGTGCCTGTGCACCCAGAATGTCAGGATCACATAGATCACAGATGCCTGTGCACCACAATGTCAGGATCACATAGATCACAGATGCCTGTGCACCACAATGTCAGGATCACATAGATCACAGATGCCTGTGCACCACAATGTCAGGATCTTTTCACATAGATCACAGGTGCCTGTGCACCCACAATTTCAGGATCACATAGATCACAGGTGCCTGTGCACCACAATGTCAGGATCTTTTCACATAGATCCACAGATGCCTGTGTGCCCACTCATGCACCGTACACAAAGACAAATGTGAAAAAGAAAAAACGGCTTAAATTGAAAGCTATCTCTTTTTGTTTTTTTGAGACAGGGTTTCTTTGTTTAGCAGTCCCAGCAGTCCTGGAACTAGTTCTGGTAGACCAGGCTGACCTCGAATTCATGGAGATCCGCCTGCCTCTGCCTATTAAGTGCTGGGATTAAAGGCATGCACTGGTGAAACCTATCTTTTTTTTTTTTTTTTTTTGGTTTTTCGAGACAGGGTTTCTCTGTGGCTTTGGAGCCTTTCCTAGAACTAGCTCTTATAGATCAGGCTGGCCTTGAACTCAGAGATCCTCCTGCCTCTGCTGGGATTTAAGGTGTATGCCACCACTGCCCAGCCATCCTATCTTTTTAATAATGTTTTAAAAAAAGTAGCTAGGCTTTCGGTGGCATATGCCTTTAATCCCAGAACTCAGAAGGCAGACACAGGCAAAGCTCTATGAGTTTGAGGCCAGCCTGTTCCACATATAGTGAGTTCCAGGACAGCCAAGAGCAACATAATCAGACCCTGCCTCAAAAAATCAAACAAAAGTGAAAAAAAATAGCCATAATAAAAAAATTAGATTTGTTGGAAGCATGTTAATAGCATTAAGTTTTTTGACTGTGTTTTTGCAAGAAAAAAGACCTTTTTCCATGCTTGGTGATACACAGAATCAGGGAAGCTAAGGTGGGGAGATCAGGAGTTCTCTCTAGCCTGGGCTACAGAGTAGGACCCTGTATCAGAAATAAAGGAACCTATCCAGAAAGAAGGCTTGAGCTCCTCCTCCAGGTACCTGGGAACAGCCCTCTTTGTTCTTTCGGGTTGAAAACTGAAGCCCCTCTTTCCTCAGTGAAATGCTCCCGTGTGATTGGATCTTTTTTTTTTCCTAGTGGTCTCTGCGCTCAACAAGGCCTGGTGTGTGAGCTGCTTTGCCTGTTCCACCTGCAATACCAAACTGACGCTCAAGTGAGTCCTTAGTCTAGCCCATCTTGACTGCTCAAGCTACAAGTTTTCAGATGCCATTTAGAATCTAAAAAGGGAAGTGATTGATGCCTGTCTCTTCTTTCTCCTGAATCCTAAATGTAAATGTTCTTCTTTAATTGTTCCTGTTCTGTCCCTTCTTTGTTCTACTCAAAGGGATAAGTTTGTTGAAATTGATCTAAAGCCAGTCTGCAAATACTGTTATGAGAAAATGCCAGAAGAGTTTAAGAGGCGACTTGCCAAACGGGAGAGAGAAGCAAAGGATAAGGACAAGCAGAGAAAGAGAAAGCCAGTGTGTCTGTAAACGTTCTGTCCCTTCTACGTCATTCTCATTGCTTCTCCTGTGGTTAGTCTTTTAGGATGCCGCTCTTTTCTGCTTATCTTTTTGTTCTTTTTTTTTTTTTGGCATGTTCTTGTGGCCATCAGAGATTGAAATACTTGATACTTGTCCTGTTCTTTTGCCCATTACAAGTATAAAACTTATAATGGCATTCATACTTAACAATGGCTTGTGTGCACATGCTTGTCCCATCTGTGGGCATAACTAAACCACTTTCCCAATGTTTTCTTAGAACAAAAGCTATATTGTAGGTAAAAGTTTAAATATTCCTACTTCAGCCAGGTGGTGATGGCACATACATTTAATCCCAGCACTGAGGAAGCAGAGGCAGGCAGATCTCTGTGAACTTAAGGCCAGCCTGGTCTCCCAAGTGCCGATATTAAAGGTTTATGACACCATTGCCTAATTTACCAATCCTTCTATACATTTACTACATTCAGAATTGAGATTAGAATTATAGTTCTTTACTGACATGAATATAGATATTTTATATAGTGTGTTATATGGTGTCTTATTTATATGTAGTTTAGCGAATTTATGTCACATTATCTGTGTGTGTGTGTATGTGTGTGTATGCTGGATACATTTCCACTAATTTTTTTATATATAATTATCTTTAGGAATAAATTTGTGGAGTTTGACATGAAACCAGTCTGCAAGAAGTGCTATGAGAAATTTCCATTGGAGCTGAAGAAAAGACTTAAGAAACTAGCTGAGACCTTAGGAAGAAAGTAACTTCTGGTTTAACCAATATTACTTAGCTTGATCCACCCTTAACTAAAGATGCATCAAAGCATTAGAGAGAATTTTTTTTTCGTTTTCCTTTTCTGATTTAAAAAGAAAAAAATGTTTATTCCCATGTAAAACACAGATGAAATCAGGACTTTAGCCTTAGCAGTCTGTGGACATTAAATGCTATATAGCGGGATTAAAAAAAAAAAAGAAAAGAAAAGAAAACATGTTAAAGGATAATTTTAATTAATCCCTGTCCTCCAAATAAATTTAACTCTTCAAAATTAAAGCACTCTGCTCCACGAGCCAACGCTGGGTCTGTGTAGAAAGAGAACTCACTCCCATGAGTTGTCCTCTCACCTCCACAGTCACCTGAGTGCTGAGCCTTGTTTCCAAAAACAAAAAGTGGCTGTGCACGTGATAGTACCTGTGTGCTAGTACCTGTGCTTCATACATAATCTGACTTGCCTCGCCTTAGAAAACTGCATCCCCTAATCAGGAATGTGAGATGTTTCATATAATACCAAATAAAAATAAATACTTTGACTAAGATTTATAAAGAGTCAGCTTTTACATGGCTCAGATTTTAAAAGACTCCAAACTTTGCTTTCTTTTATCTCATAAGAAAATATTTTCTTAGGCTGGAGAGGTGGCTCAGTGGTAAAGAGCACTGGCTGCTCTTCCAGAGATCCTGAGTTCAATTCCCAGCAACCACATGGTGGCTCACAACCATCTGCAATGAGATCTGGTGCCCTCTTCTGGCTTGCTTGTCTACCTGCAGGCAGAATACTGTATACATAATAAATAAATAAAATCTTATAAAAAAAAGAAAATAATTTCTCACTCATATACTGGAGAAGGCTATAGGAAAGATAAGTAAACTACCAAAATAATTCCTATGCACTCCTAGTGTGTTTATCCAGTTAGTGTTGTAAAAAGGAACATGCGTATTACTAAGAAGCAAAAATATTTCAAAAAGACTTGAATATTGGTCAAATCACTATGCTTAGTTTTCTGTTTTGTGCTCCTTATGAGCTTCTTTCTTTGTACAGTTACTTAACACAGTTGCTGTAACTACTGGTATATCTTTTACATTGTTGAGCAAATCAAAGCTATACCAGTTATCTTGAAAATGTTGCACACTTTGTGATATTGGGAAAATGAATCATTTTAAAAAATATGTTATACAATTATACTTTTAAGCTAATGTAAAATATGTAGTATTCAAATAGGACATGAGATGAACTATTATGCAGCTTGGAATGTATCACTTTCAAAAGTGGGTGTGAGTCAGGGATGGCAGCACTGGCCTTTAATCCCTGCACTCTGCATGCAGAGGAGGACAGAGCTCTGAGAGTCCTAAGCCAGCTGAGGACTCTTGTTTCAGAAAATGTGGATGTGCACGTCATAGTACCTGTGTGCTAATATCTGTGCTTCATACATAATCTGACTTTCCTTGCCTTAGAAAACTGCATCCCCTAATCAGGAATGCTAGATATTTCATATAATACCAAATAAAAATACTTTGAGATTTGTAAATTTAGAATCATTCATCACTGATAAACTTTAAAAATTCTTTCTCAGGAAGCCAGTGGAAACTAATACTTGTCCTCTTATTAGAATGATGTTGATACATGTGTTAGTTTTTTTCATTTCAAATGTTGTAATTGGGTTTTATCTACTATAAGATAGTAAAAAGGTATAAATAATACTTTCAGATTGAAAGAGAGTGGTAAGAATATTAACTTCAGGTAAAACTCAGTTCTATTTTATGAAAGTTTTTATTCTGAAATGTCTGGACCATTCTTTTTGTATAAACTCAATATGCAAAAGTATGAACATTTTAAAGATGTTTCTGTTGCTAACATGTTACTTTTTTTTTTCTAAGTTACCAAGATATATATAGCCAACATTGCTGGGTATGGTGACTCACACTGTCGTCTCTGCACTTAGGAGGCAGGAAGATCGCCATGAGTTGGAGGCCAGGCCTAGTTACGGTGTGAGATGCTGTCCCCCAAGACACCCCAGAAACAACAACACTAGTATATCATTTTGCCATTAAGGCTATCTCAGGGGCCTAGGAAATAGCTCAGTCAGTAAAGTACTTGGGCGTTAGGACCTGACTTTGACATGGAGGTGAGCAGATCCACTGTACTCACTGGGTTGCCAACCCAGCCTAACTGGTGAGCCCCAGATCTAAGAGGCTCTTGCTTCATTCTCTCAAATGAAGCAAGGTGGGCGGCTCCTGAGGAATGACACCCAAGATAGACATCTGGCCTCCACGTACACATATACTTATCACACATTCAGAAATACATACTCAGACATATATACAAAAAAGGATATCTCAGGATGCTATTACTCTGCCATTAAAATGTTTGTAATCATGAATTTTTTTAAAATACTTGGTTATGCACATTATAGAATGAATACATTTCTGCTTTCAGATAACTAACTTGTAGCCAGTTACTTTATTTTTTAATTTTCTTTTGGGATTAAGAAAATTATAAGTGATTAAAAACAATACATGCTTTGTGTTTGTTTAGCAGTTTAAAATTGTCTTTGACAATAAGAACCAAAATTACTTCAGTGTGCCTTTGTCAGCTAATAATGACAAGCAATGAGTACCTTAAAGGTGTTTATGAAGAAGTATTATACACGCATTTAGGCAAGTAGAATTTGTAGTCTAGGGTCTTGATGCTATGTACCTCACTAGCTATACGAAGCAGAAAAGCAAGCATTCACATGCTTCCCCCATCGCTTTAGAGATGTATGGCCTGAGCCATTGCTTACACATCTTACATGTCATCCGTAGCCAGAGTCCCCGCTGCCGTCTTTGCTCAGTCCTCTTCAGACAGGACTCTTCAAGTTTGACTTGGTGGTTATATGATACTTCATCAAGAGATGGTGCTTCTCTCTGTGGGGGTATCATTGGAGCCCTTAGTGCGGAAGAAGATGGAGAGGTTTAACTGGGGCAAAGACAGACTTGGTCCAGTTCCTGTTTGTTGTTGGGTTCACTGGCTACTGGTATTTGCTAGTGGACATCTCTGTTTGAATTTTTAGGGGCAATCTGAAATAATTGTGCTTATAACATTTTTAAGTGCCCTTTTTGTCCATAGTTCTCCTAATATAATGGGAAAAATGGAAACACATAAAATATTTTTTTTGTGTCATGTTCAAAGCCTTATTAACACTGAAATAGGTCATTTTGCTTCATCCATTTGCCAAAGTAGCCAATTCCAAGTTAAGGAAACTTTGACATAGGCTGACAATATTCTTGTATTTTATTTTAGAGTGTAAGCTTAATGGCTGGAAATTATATCAATAATTGTGCTTTTTATGTATCAACCATTGCTGTATACTTTTGGTGCTTAATAAATGTTCATAATTATCCATAATGTGTTATGTGTCATTTAGTTTGACCTCTTTGAAGACTCCAATATTCAGTGTTATATCATAGAAATATTCACATATATGGGCAAAGGCTCCTTGCAGGAGTTTAGATAACCCCAAAACAACTGCATCACAGCCAAGTCACACTTAGCATAGGAGAGCCTCCCCAAAGCTGCATAAATGGAGCCCGCACCCTTAGTTACCTTTCTCCTGCCTGCTCTAGCACTTCTCACAACCGTGTGCACTGGGGCTGAATCACATGCATCTGTGGGTGTGTTGTGGAAGAGGGAAGGAGTGGCTGTGCCTCAGGTGAGGGCCTAATGACCTCCCTGACACTCCTGCTGTGAGGAAACTCAGTAGCCTGTCTTGCTCGGGAGATCTTGCGGGTAATTAGTAGCTTTGATTAAGATGATGCTTGCTGGTTTACTCCAAGGCTAGCATTCCACAATGCCACAGAAAGTGTTGGATGTCAGGATAAATGCTAATGTTTTTCAGTTCTGGGGACCCATCCCAAACCTGGCCTTGTGTTGCTAGATATACCAATTCATTTTCACATTGACCAGGTGCCTGACAAGAAGCAACTTAAGGGATAAAGAATCTCTCGTCATGAGAAAACATGAGTCAGCTTGCTCACATCTGAGCAGATGAGGAAGTAGACAGAGGCCTCAGCTGGAATCTGGTCTTGGCTCTAACCCCTAAAACCTACCCACTGGGGCCCTGTGGAGATAGTCAGCCATAACAGTGAACACTGCCACTGAACTGAATGCCTAACTAACATTTTTCATGTCTTTTTTTATTTTATGCATGTGAGTGTTTTGCCTGTATGCTTATATGGGCATCATGTGTATCACTGGTTCCAGAAAAGGAGTTCCCATCTAATTCCCCTGAAACTGGACGGTTGTGAGCAACCATATGGCTACTGAACCTAGGACATCTTCAAGAGAAGTAAATGCTCTTTATCACTGAGCCGTTTTTCCAGCCCCCATTTTTTTATGTTTTGACATAAATCTGAACATAAAATCTAGACACCTGCACCATGCCTGTCGGGAAGATGCTCACAGCCAGAGCGTTTCTCTTCCAGTATTCAACCTTTCTTGGACAAAACTGCTTTAAATTTGCTACACTTGGGAGCTCCGTAGGTTCTGAGTTGAGTCATGCATCTCTTTTCCTCCCTCTCAGATGTCTCTATGTGGCACAATGGCAGGACTGCTGGAGAGGGGAGGCTTCCTGGGAGAGCTGGATGGTATGAGAAATGGGAACTTGCTGGGAAGGAGGCCAGCAGTGGACCTCCCATGCCTTCCACTTACCGACTCCTACACGGGCATCTGTCTAGACTCCCAAGATAACAAGTTGACTACATACAGTCCAGCTAGCCTCCCCCTCATCCCTCCGCTCCAGAACTCATCAAACAGCTGAGACTTGTCCTCTGCCCTTGACAGTGCCACCCACTTCCAGGTTGAGCAGCTTCCCCAGCAGTCTAGACAATATAAGGATGACACCCTGTTTTAAAACAGGGGACATAGCTGGGCGGTGGTGGCACACGCTTTTAATCCCAGCACAGGGAGATCTCTGTGAATTCGAGGCCAGCCTTGTCTACAAGAGCTAGTTCCAGGACAGCCTCCAAAGCTACAAAGAAACCCTGTCTTGAAAAAACACACACAGAAAAAAAAAAAAACGGACAGAGGTTAAGTGCAATAGACAGGTGGAGAGAAGACCCTAACTGTTATTTTTTTTTTTTTTTAGGATTTATTTATTTACGTATACAGTGGTCTGCCTGCATATATGCTTACAGGCCAGAAGAGGGCACCAAAACCATGTGGTTGCTGAGAATTGAACTCAGGACCTTTGGAAGAGCAAGCAGTGCTCTTAGCCACTGAGCCATCTCTCCAGCCCCTCTGACTGTGGTCTTTGTAATATTTTGTTGGTTGTTTTGTAATGAGGTCACCTGTATCATCCAAGCTGACCTTGGACTCTTAGGTTCAAGCAGTCCTGTTTACTGTGCTGGCAAGCTCTAATACAGGCCAGCGACTGGTTAATACCACAACCCCAAGACTCTGGAACTACAAATACACTGATATACCTAGCTTAAAACAAACAAACTTCTTATTTAATAATACAGTGAAAGTCTATGAACTGAAGTCAGGTAACAGTTACTGAAAAGCAGTTTGTCCAGGCTAGGAGCATTGCAGTCCTGGAGTGAAGGTATCAGATGACTGGCAGGGAAAGAGGCCAGTGCTGTGGGATTTACATTTAGTTGCTCAGAATATGCACTCTAAGTACACAAAATGCCTTGATCGGGCTGGAGAGATGGCTCAGTGGTTAAGAGCGCTGCCTGCTCTTCCAAAGGTCCTGAGTTCAATTCCCAGCAACCACATGGTAGCTCACAACCATCTGTAATGAGGTCTGGTGCCCCCTTCTGGCCTGCAGGCATACACACAGACAGAATATTGTATACATAATAAATTAATTAAAAAAAATGCCTTGATCGGTGGTTGCTAGCTACTTTATCTTTTCAGAACAATAGAACAAATTAAGTTCAGTGGCTCTATATGAGATAGTTATCTCCAAAATGACAATGGTTTAAAATAGTTAATAATGGAAGACTGCTATAGCATTGTCAAATCTTTTAGATTTAGTTATTTGGGGGTTTTTCTTCAAGACGGTTTCTCTGTGTAACAGTCTTGGCTGTCCTGGAACTCATTTTGTAGACCAGGCTGGCCTTGAACTCATAGGGATCCACCTGCCTCTGCCTCCTGAGTGCTGAAATTAAAGGCGTGCACCACCACCTGGCTAGATATATTTATTCTTATGTTTATGAGTCATTTGCCTGCATGGATATTTGTACATCAGGTGTGTGTCTGGTGCCTGCAAAGGCAGGACGAGGGCATCAGATACCCTTGAACTGAAGTTGTAGATGGTTGTTAGCCACTGTTAGGTACAAAGGAGACTCCAATTCCCTAAACTCCAAAAGGCAGCCCAAATATTCAGAAATGAGCTCAACCTGGACAATAGAGGATTTTTGGCTGTTAGGTGAAAGCCAGCCTTCCTCAGGAACTTGTGAAGTCAGTTCCCCTCTATCAAAGAGTCATTTCCTTACCTCTGCCAGAAGAGACACACCTGTGGTGGCTACTAGGGGACCAAAGTTCACATTGGCCTCCAGACTCCCGCTGTATCACAAGTACCTGTTACACATTTCAAAGTCCATCCTCACTCTTCTCACCTCACCACCACCTAAGCTTTCTCAGCTCACAGGCTTCCCCACACCCAGCTACTCATTTTCCTTAGAACCCTGCTATTTTCAATAGGTTGACTCTCTCCCTTCCTGTTTGTGCCCTCATCCCCACCCTCTTCTCTTTCCCTCTCCCCATTTCTCTGCTCTGCCGCTGCTTCTCTCCTTGCAAGGTCCAATCTGCTGGCCGTGTCCAGTCTACTTTTTTCTCTCTTTGCCCTGGACTCTTCCAGGTGCCTCTGGCTGCTCTCTCCCTCGGGTCTGCAATTAGCCTTTACCATCCCATGGAACAGTCATGTTGTCAGTGTATACAGCCATCATATGAGTGCTGGGAATCTAACTTGAGTTATCAGGCGGAGCAATCAGTGCCTTTAACCACTGAGATGTCTCTCCAGCCCCCCCCCCACCTTAATCTCTGAAGGCTAAGGCTAAGTGTGAGTCACCATGACAAGTTAGAATGACTCATACTAAACAATCACAAGTATTGACGAAGAGCAGGAGGAAAGGAAACACAGATGTACTGAGAGTGGCCATGTAAATTACACCACGTAAAACACTGGGGAAGGTTCTTAAAGAATTAAAAACAGGCTGGGCGGTGGCAGCACTTGGGAGGCAGAGTCAAGTGTTCACCACTGTGTGTAGTTTTTTCAGTGCTGGGGCTTTAATCCTGGGCTTCCTGCATGCTGGGCAAGCGAGCTTCCCAAGAGCCCCTTGCTGAGACTGCAGCCTCTTCCGGAGCCGTCTAAAGTAAATGAAATGTGCTGTGGGTGTTGATTTGATGCCCGCTTTCCCACATTCACCGCAGAATTATTCCTAAGAAGTAGGCTAGAGAGTTTAGTAATAAACGATGAAAGAAAATATGACATGCACGCATACATACTCAGTCAACTTTTTAAAGGTGCCTTTAGTCTTCCCTAGTCTTGTCGCTTGTCACAAACCAGCTGACCCTAGAGACCATGCTTAACAAATTCATCAGGCACAGAAAGACTTCACGCATTTGCTTACATGTAGAACTTTAAAAATTCCGTAAATAAAATGGGCGGCGGTAGTGCACACCTTTGATCCTAGCACTCTGGAGGCAGAGGCAGGCCACAGAGTGAGTTCCAGGACAGCCGGGGCTACACAGAGAAACCCAGTCTTGAAGAAAGAAGGGGGAAATATCCTGTTCTATTGGATGCATGTTGCTTACACATCATCATAAAGTGAGTAAATCTAAGTCCCAGATCCCGATTTTATGTCAATGACCGATAATGCATTGGCTGGGTGTGGTTTTGCACCCATTAGTTCCAGTTCCGGGGATGCAGAAATTGGTCTGGTCTACAAACTGAGTTTCAGGCCAGCCAGTACCACAGAGTGAGAACCAATCTCAAAAGCAAATAAACAAAAAAAAAAAAAACCCAAAACCCAATAATGTAAAAGGAACTTCAGTGCCTTACAAAAAGCATTGTGTAAAGTGAAGTAAAACATGTCTTTAAGTTCCTGATTCAGGCAGAAATAGGAACTGCTTGTCAAAAAAAAGTCTGTTCTTCCTTTGCTCTTGGTGACCAGAACAAACCTTGTGCAGACTGTTCAAGCGATCTACCACCAAGTTACCCCCCATGTCTCAGAAGAAGGATTTTGAATTCCTCGAGAAGGTTCTTCGTCCTAATCCTTTTCAGTATGTCTAACTTAAATTAGTTGTATCACTCTTTACCATGGTACAATTGAGGGCAGCCAGGTGAGGCCATTCACTGTTCATTGTCATGCTTCCTTGCCCACTGTAAAATGAGTA